AATTCCTAGGAAACCATTTTATTATAAATACTTATTTGTACATTTTAGGTTTTATCCCGTATCCAGGACAGTCACTTTGCCTGTTGGACGTACTGTCGTTTGGGTTTTCAGGTATTAAATAGTTTCAAGAACAATTCCAGTGTATATTTATTATCAAAGATTCTCACTGCTGCAACATCCTTCTTAAAGGCTCAATACCACTCTTGTTGTAACTTAATAATATGTCCCAATCTTTATTCTGGTCAACAAATTGTACTATTTTACAATATTCCAATTAATTGGTGATATAAGTTTCATCTTAACACACCTTATTTAAAAATTTTGAAAAATTCAACATAATGGTTTGAAACGTAAACCTTTTCAAATGAAACTTCAATTTAAAAATATTTTCGAACCCTCTGGACAAGTAAAATAGGACGTAATGGATAATTTACACAACAGGTAGGACACTTAAACATCTAGTACTTAGATAGAGATATTATTTATTTTCTGGAGCTTTCAAGGCAGCAAGAGTGTTATTGTCCCTTTAAAATAAAATAATGTAGCTAAACAATCCCTTTAAATATTAAAATCATCCTGCTGAGAAGAACATGTAAAAATAAAAAGTCAGAAAACATGTTGTGAAGTTTTCAAATAATTGCTCTCTTGATAAGATCGTCTATAAACTTACTAAATATAATATTCTAGATAAAAGACGCTGAGTCTTATCAACCTTAATGTATCTTTAGAACAGATTTTTAAATTAAATTGCTAGATTCTATTACACACAAGCTTTTAAAAAAATATTAAATTTACTGAATTCCATGTCTACGAGTACATAAATATGTCATTTCATATCTATTTAAATTGGTAAAGCATTTATGTGGTCTTTCAATTATTATTCAAATCTTAAACATACATTATGCAAGAGCTAAATTGACTATTGCAGGTCTTTCTTTAGGCCTGAAATGTTATCTAAATTATTAATTAGACATTAATTAACTTATCCAGACCATAATCAACTCTTGGTGCCAGTGCTAGCTTGTGATATTTAGCAAATTGAAAAAAAATTTTGAAAAATAATTAAACGTAAAATTGGATGATCGAGACATGTTTTTTTTATGGCAGCGACTTTAGTAATGATGTTCAAGGCTAGCCTAAAATTCAAAAGCAAATATCTCGGTTCAGAGTGGAGCAATTTGATTAAAATCTTCACCATATTGTCTTTACGTTATCTATTCTTTAAATATAGCAAGAACAGTCAACTCTTTATCTAATCTCCCATATGCCCCTTTAACAGATCATGCAGATTTTGCCTAGGCAGCGGCACTATGGCCTACTCTTATATCAAATTCCAAAGGGATCTTTTACATGCATGCCAATGTCCGAACGACTATAGACAGCTGTCCTTATCAGGCCATCCTTCCTGCACCACTGACAAGGGGAAACCAAGTCGGAAAATCCTGATGAACTTTCTCTGCCAATGCAGGGATTGAACACCCGACCTCCAAGGATGGCACAAAGCACCGATATAATATTGCTTCAAGGAAAGAGACTTGAAAACAGGTGGTAAATCCCTCAAAATATAATTGAGATTAAATGTAACTTAGGAGGTTACTTGCCAATAATTCTGTAAAATGAATCATTGAATAAATAGACTATTTTTACTTTCCTGTATATCTTTATTGAACCATTTCAAAACACCATTTTTGGTCCCATGTAACCCCTTCTCCCTTTAGGAGCCACGGTGGCTAAGTTGGTAAGACGCCAGCTCGCTAGCCTGGAGGTCGGGTCTTCGATCCCTGCATTGGCTGAGAAAGTTCATCGGGATTTTACGTGCAGGGCATAGGGCCCGACAAGGACAACTGTCTAGTCGTTCGGATGGAATGAAAAACCGAGGTCCCGTGTATACATTGGCATGCACTTAAAAGATCCCTTGACAGTTGAACAGCTTTTGTCAGTTTAACCTATAAGCCTTGACTGTTTCCATTGCAGTCTTTATAGGCTCCTCATGTTCCTGAAACTGGAGGCCCCATAGAAAACCCACGAGGTTGGACAGGGAACCCTACTCCTTGTCACGTACTAACGGGGATTCGAAACCACGCCAGTTGACTCAATGACAGGCCTCATGATACAGCACGCACACGCTAACCATTCGACCATCCAACCCCCCCATTTCAATATTAACTGAGCACAGAAAACATAATAAACCGACTAACACAAATGTCATGACCACCATATGTGGAACATATTCCATAATCTTACAACAAAATACATAATATGATTATGACTCAAGCATGACAAATCAGTGTACTTCCAAAACCTTGTAACACCGATTTTTTTACCGTTTGAAATCTAGACCTTGTAACGCAGAGTTTTTTCAAAACTATTTCTTCACAATTTGAAATCTAAACATTCTAATGATTTTAACCTAGACTAATCAGAAATGCTGATTTAAATTTTATAATATTGTCTCGCATAATAAACATAAAATATCAGATATTTGTATTTATGTACATGTTTATATTCAAGCCTGGAAATAAGGCACCTGTCACTGACAATGTCAGACACAGATTAAGGGTTTGTCAGGCACTAAAACTCTGGTGCCTGTCATTTTGTCCGTCACAGATTTGTCTTTTTTATTAATATTATTAATACATGTCTGGCACTAAGTTGAAAATGTCAGGTACTATTTCCTTAGTGCCTAACACTTTGTCAGGTACATCCAGGCCTGTTTATATTGTATGCTATCCACAATGGATGTTTCTATACAATAAAATCTTATCTTATCTTACGTTATCTTATATCGATTCTGATAAAAGATTCATAATTTCTATAAATTGTCCAGATACCTTAGTCAATTATTGCTTTAAATATGTTTAAACAAAAAAAAACCACCCAAAACTCCCCGAAATGCCTTAAAATATTACATCTCCGCAGCATGATAAGAATTTTGTCCTAGAATTATTGTGTAATTGTGGTATTTCTTAATTTTGAAAATATATTTAACGCTAAAGAAAACAATCATATTCATACATTTCTTAATCTCTTTAACCCACCAAAATTGATTGCCAAGGCAGTGGCTTTATACGTGTTTTTGGCTTTTGATAAGAGAGCTAAATCAAATTTGGTGGTAACTACATGTAACCAAGGTCGTGGATTTGTCATAACTTTTTTTTGGGGGGGGGGGGTGGACGGACGAACCCTGGAACCTTTCATTACCAAACCAAAATAAAAATTACGAACAGTTTACCACTGCTATTTCGATGAAAGCTGTAACTAGGGGTAATATGATGACGATATAGTAAAATTGACTACCTACAATTAAGGAGGAAGATATCGTGGCGAGACACAAGGCAGTGGTTAGATAGCCTTCAGAACAGGACATTCATGTGGATATAAACCTGAAAATCTGTCCTGGCAATCAAAATCATGGGGGTGACAGAGACCTACTCGTCCCCCCCCCCTAAATCCACGCCCATGCATGTAACTGAAACCCCTTTGATATACATGTAATATACTGTTTGTATGAATGTATTGAGTTGTCTATATGTAATATGTATTATTAAATGTATATGACTATGTCCAAGTGTATATGTATGCATGCTGTCCATAATGGACGTTCTGATGCAATAAACATCTTATCTTATCTTATCTTATCCACACAAAGGACCTCATTTGGCTATGGTATATCAAAACATCAACAGTAGGTCTATAACTTCTACAATTCGTTACAATATGGATAATAGTCGCAATTATTTCATTTTTATGTTCCGACAAGATGAACTGTATTTTATGCTCCGACAAGATGACCTGTACCTGGTATTTATAGGTTTAATTATTTGGATTTATTAATTATTAACTAACAGTCATTTAAAATAAACCACCATTTTTCGATCAAACTTTTGTATATTTTGTAATATTGAAAGAGAGAGAGAGAGAAATGGGGTTTAACATCCACTCAACACAAACTAGGTCATTTCGGGACTAACATATGGTTTAATTTTATTTCAATAATTTGCTTGTGCGTAGGGGTTTAGCAGTGAAAGGAAATCAGAGGACCCGGTGAAAACCCACGAGGTTGGACAGGAGACCCTACTCCTTGTCACATACAAATGGGGAATCGTGACCATGCCAGCTGACTCAATAACAGACCTTATGATACAGCACGCACATGACTCAATAACAGACCTTATGATACAGCACGCACATGCTAACCATTCGGCCATCCACCCCCCACCCACCATTTTTGATCAAACTTAAGAGATACAATATTTTGTAATATTGAAAAGTAAAAATTTTCAGTGTCTAGATACAATATTTTGGCAAGTTTAAATTTTCAGTGACTATTTTTGAAACCCTAATAATTCAATTTTTCAGTAAAAAAAAAAGTTATCGAATGCCTTGAAATTAGGGTAAGTTTTCTCAAAAAATTATGAAAATAAATAAACAAATATCAAAATCACCCCCGTAATACCAAAACAACAACGTATTTCATTAAATTTACTTTTTTGGTCCTCAAGAAAAGTTAAAAAAAAATTCAGGTATTATATTCATCTTGGAAGTCAAACCACAACAAAATATAAAAACATTGAAACACTATACCTATTTCTAACTTAAAATAATTTTTCTATATTCCTGAAAAATCCTATAATATAAAAACATTGAAACACTACTATACCTATTTCTAACTTAACATACTTTTTCTATATGCTTGAAAAATTCCATAAATAAATGTAGTTCTATATCATTCTGCTATATATTCACTGAACTTAGTGATAGCAGATTTCAAAATACTGGAAGCACAGAAAGGAATGAAGACATATTTCTCATAACAAACATAAAATGCTCTTCTTTTTTTTCCCCTTTTCATTGAAACCCAAATTCAAAATATAAAACGGCTGCTAACTATGACTCATTGGAGAGAAGAAATTAATAGACACACGTTATCTGCCATATATTTCTTCTTTGTCTTACACCTCACTCCCTGACACACGTTAATCAAACATAATTAACATTACCTTTAAATTATCCAAATTATCCAAATATGAATTACAAAATTCCACAGATCAGCTAAAATGTCTTTTTATATCCAATATTTCAAGAGAACAAGTACTATATGATATAACGAATAACACTCTGGCACTGCTAGCAGACACAGCTGAAATGGGACTGGTAGGTCTAACACTAACCAATGCAAAAGCAGAAAAGTGTAATCCTATATAGCACTATGGGTACATGATTACTTTTCTTCAGTTTTTCTCTCTGCCTGTGTTACATTTGTGAGAGCTGGCTAAACAGACTCTATCTTAGCATTTGATCTGTAACACTCTACTATTACTACTACACATTGCACTGTAACCTGGTTATCATTTAATCTTGTGAATCTAGCATTATTTTCTTTCACATTCATTCAATATCAAATCATTTAAAATCATCTAATTTGTACTTGTGTCCAGTTTAAAGCTGATTAATTTTGATAATTTAATTTCCAGACCACTATTACTACTACTAAACATCACTGTAACCCAGGTATCATTTAATCTTGTGTATCTAGCACTATAATTTCTTCCACATTCATTCAATATCAAATCTTTGTTTAAAAATGTGTAAAAATCATTTAAAACCCAAATTATCTAATTTGTACTTGTGTCCAGTTTAAAACTGACTGATTAATTTTGATAATGAGTGTTCAATTTACATGTATTTAATTTCCCGACCATTGTTAAAAAATTAATCATTATACATCATTGATCAATTGGGTTGTTTATTTTTTAACAGTGATTGCGAAATTAATCACTTGCAAATTGGACACTCATTATCAAAATTAATCAGTCAGCTTTAAACTGGACACAAGTACAAATTAGATGATTTTTGGTGATTTTAAACAATTTTTACGAATTTTTAAACAAAGATTTGATATTAAATGAATGTGAAAAAAATTAGTGCTGGATACACAAGATTAAATGATACACTGTACTAGACGTAAGATGTCATACAACTTTTGTTGTTCAGCATTTAGATCGAAAACAGTGTCAGAGATGACAGAATTTATTTAAATCAATGCCAAGTTTCATTATGTATCATTATGTATAAATAGCTGGCTGTTTTTGCTATAAAAGTTCAAAAATAGATAATAAAAAATAAATACATTGAACATTTCTGTCAAATCACTTTATTTTGAGTGTTGTCCTGATTGTTTGAGGTTCTGACAGGAATAGGGTACATGTAGTGTCGATTGTCATTTGGAAAAAATCATGGTCAGAGATGACATAATTTATTTAAATGACTGCCAAGTTTTATTATAATTACTAATAAATTGAAATGTTAACTCCTGACTGGTAATAATTAATTGGATGTCAGTGATGATATTAACCTAATGTCCCTGTGTTCATCATTTCTTCTAATTTAAAGGTGAGAGAGAGAGAGAGAGAGAGAAATGGGGTTTAACTTCCACTCGACACAAACTAGGTCATTTTGGGACTAACATATGGTTTAATTTTATTTTAATAATTCGCTTGCGCGTAGGGGTCTTTAGCAGTGGGAGGAAACCGGAGGACCTGGAGAAAACCCACGAGGTTGGACAGGCAACCCTACTCCTTGTCACGTACAATTACCGGGGTTTGGAAACCACGCCAGTTGACTTATGATAAAGCGCGCATGTGCTAACCATTTGGCCATCCACCCCCCCTAATTTAAAGGTGAGTCACTACAATGCCGATGACATCAATGAAATGAAATGAAATGTCCGACTGTTCTGGGACGGAGGGACTGACAATGACAGCTGTCTAGTCCTTTGGATGGGACGAAAAACCAAGGTCCTGTGTTTACAGTGGCATGCACGTAAAAGATCCCTTGACAGTTGGAATTTGATATCACAGTAGGCCATAGTGCTATAGCCCGGGCAAAATTTCCCTCATAGCACACTGTATGGCGTATGTCCATCTTGATTAGCCCAGTTCGGAGCAGAACAGTAGGACATTAAACCCCATTTCATTTCATTTCACCTATTGTTCTGCTCTGAATGGATTATTGAAGACGGGACATCAATGAAACTTCAATGAAATTTTTAACATTCTTAGAAAATATTATGGACCTCATTGATACTATACGAGTGGGGTGGGGGTGAAGGGGGCCGGGTTACGGGGGAAGGATCCCTGGAACTCATTGATACTATAAGAGTGGGGTGGGGGCTCGGTGGGGGGGGGTGTCTTGGGGCTGGGGAAGAATCCCTGGAACTCATTGATACTATAAGAGTGAAAATGAAGCAATCCGAAGATAATAATCTAAAACTAATCTTGTTAGTCTTAGAATGACTTAATTGAAGAGTTAACAAGAAATAAATGAAACATGATTCATTTCATCTGTAATTAAATCTAATTATTATCAAGTTAATTAAAGTAACTAATTAGTATCATGATATCTGTTCATTTCATTGAGTAGTGATAAGACTTGTGGTACTAATAATACAACATCGCTATATGTAATTTAATACCATCAGACAGATTATGGTCAGGGATAGTTACTCTTCTTTTATCCCTATACAAGCAACCACAGGGCCCTTATTCAGGAAAACTTAACTGAGATAAAATCTAAATTTTAGTAATTTGATTGGATAATATTAGACTGATTTTAGTGCTTAGCCAATCAAAATTGAGGTATCTACTAAAATTTGGATTTTATCTTAAGTTAAAATTTCGTGAATCAGGGCCCAGGGGGCAGTTTCACAAAAGTTCGTAACTTTAAGAAAAAAAACTACGTTAAGAAAAACTTACGAAAAAGATACGAATTATTTACGCCGGTTTCACAAAGGCCGGCGTAAGTTTTTTCTTAACTTTTTCTCGTATCTTTTTTCGTAAATACGTCACGAATGGTCGTGACGTCATGTTGCGTCACTTCATTCACACTTCTGTAAACATTCCCACGGACTGAATGTTGACAATGTCGGCTTTATAGCCGTTACGTTTGATTTGATCCTTACCTTTTGAAACATAAACGACGAAATGATATATTCCTTATATACGCTAAGATTTAGCGGTGTATTTATGAATAAAATGCTATTTTCATGCCTGTTGTTTACTTGTTTTTGTTTGCTACGTCATAGCGCGTGACATATAGTACCATACGTCGTCTGTAAGTCTGCCAAAAGCCGAAATGGAACCAAAAAGGCGAAAACAAAATTGGAACCCGGCAGCTCTCGGTGTTTTAATTGAGGGGGTTGAACAGAATTATGGGATTCTGAAAGGAAAATTAAGCAGCAGTTTGACTAGGTCATCAAAAGACGGAGTATGGGAGAATATTTGTACAGTAAGTGTCGGTCTTTGCCGCGATAGGCTTACATACATGTAGTACAGGGCCTAGTAATAGCCTACTGCATTAATACTAATAGTAATACCATTAGCCATAGTCTTGTTTAATAAAAACTAGCGTACTGAGATTATTTTTCCTGAGCTCCTGTTTGTGATAAATTAAATACTATGTAAATGTTGTAGTATATGCTGGCTTACAACCGAAGGCCCACGAGGCCCTATACTTACTACGCTTCACTTCAGCCTGAGCCTGCAAAGCCTAGGCCTATAGCCTATAGGCATACCGGTACTAATCCGACCCTGGCCATTAAAGGGAATTTCATATCAATCGTGAAGTCTGAACACTAGTCTCAAATTGTGTAAATTTTACTTGCAGAGTGAACAGCGTTAAAACAAGACGATAATTCGTACGTTTACCTGAGTTTAGAATCAGCTGTTGCTTGAACATTAATGGAATGAAACCCTTTCCTGCAGACGAACAGCGGCTCATTTTCTCCCGAAGGTGCTATGATGGCAACTTGTGTACCATCAATCGTTCCCACTACATTTGGGAAGCCTGCTATTTGGTGAAAACTTTCCTTTGTAGAATTGATATCTTCCATGGAATAGGGGAAATTTATTGATAATTTATCGTCAACACAGGTTGTTATTGCTCGTGAAACACGATAAATTACTCTAGACACTGATGGTACACTCACCCCATGTGCATCAGCAATGAGTTTTTGGAAGCTACCTGTGGCATAGTATCGTAATGCAATCAGGACTTGTACAGGTGATGACAAGGATTTCGATCGGTAAGTTGCGGTTTCGATATCATTAATACAGTTAATAACATGTAATATAGTGGTCCGATCAAGTCTGTACCGCGAAACTAACTCCTCATCTGTATGAGTGTCGAGAGGGTTTAATCTATCCTTGAATATTCTCTCTCGCCGAAGATGCCGATCAGCATAAAGTAACAAGGCGGCCATTTTGTCAAAGATACGAAAAGAATTCCAACTTACGACAAGGTGAGAGTTGCCGTAGACTTTACGATAAAAGTTACGAATTTCGTAAGTTAAGAATTTTAGTGAAACGCGATTTTTACATAAGTTTACGTTACGATAAACTTACGCAAATTTTTCATCGTAAGTTGCTTTGTGAAACTGCCCCCAGGTCTTTGGATGTTAAATTGTTTTTCAGTGCTATAGTCATTTTAAACATACATTATGCAAGGCCTAAATCTGCCTATTGCGCAGGTCTCTCTTTCGGCCAGAAATGTTTTCTAAATTATTAATTAGACATTAATTAACCTATCCAGACCATAATCAACTCTCGATGGCATCGGGTTTCTCCGATATTAAATAGATCAGAACAGTTCAGCTATATTTTGATTTAAGCTAAAAATGGAGGAATGAGACTTAGCTTCGAACAACCAGTACGTTGGTTGAAATTATTGCACACGTCTTGTCAAACCTCCAAAGGCTAATATCTTCGCTCGCAATAGAGTAATTTGAATAAAATTTTCAAATTGTTTATTTTACATTATTTCTTTTCGAACTATTATAGTAAGAATGGCTAGCTCTTTATCTAAAATCTTACATAATGTATCTTTAATGTATTATTACTATAAGTAAAATCATACAAGTAAATTTAATAAAATTAAGGCCTACCTTCAGATTTCGTCATGGTCACAAGATGTAAATAGGGTAAGGGCACGTGATTGTTGACAAAATTGTGGGTTAGGGTTGGGGTAAGGGTTAGGGTTAGTACTAACCTTGTTTACATCTAGTGACCTTGATGAAATCTGCAGGTGGGTTTAACATTTAGACCTGACCATAAAGTGCCAGATTCATCATCATCCTTGAC